TTGTTTCTTGCTTTTAATCACTGCAGTTGCGTGATTAAAATCCTCTGTGTGTTTGCTGCACTGCCCTGGGCTCTCCCAGTGGGACCCAAGGGTCCGAGGGGGTGGGCAGTGGGGTAGGGGTCCACCTGGTCTGGAAAAATTTGTCTCCTTTCCTGTGGGAGATGTTTTTTAAGGTTAATTATCCCCTCGGTTCTGATGATGGTTGAATAGGTGGGAAAGCAGCTGTTTCCCAAGATAACGGTGAGATTGACATCAATATCTGTACCCCTACACACCTCCACACCCAACAGCCCCCTCTTTTCTCACCGGGTTTCCTTTCTTTTGGCTTTCGTTTTGGTTTTTATCTCGTTTTTGCTCAGAAATGAGTTGTCTTGCCTTGAAAATTGAAATACTGTCATTTGCAAGTTGTTCTTCAAGATTTTTCAAACTAGTGAATGGTGCATTAAGAGTTTGTGGCATAAGACACACGGGACGTGGACCTATTTTTCCCACTGGTGTTTTTACTGTTTGTGTCCCCAAATGGTGGTGGCCATGCCTCATCACCCTCTGCAAATGCAAAACACTGATTGCCTTTCTGTGCTGCTGGAGGGGAACAAAGGGCTGCAGAAGAGCGGGAGGTGGAAGGCATCCCTCATTCCACCTTGCTGAGCCGCATTCGGCCTTCATGTATAAAACAACCTTGATGTGATGGGAAAATATTTTCTCGTAATCTATACTTGGGTGAAATGGTCATGTTGTATTTTCAGGAAAGGTGTTATGGCCTGTTTTGCTTTGTAGTGAGGTCCCCAAATTCCATTGCTCCTTTCCACCTGAATCCAGAGCCCAAGCGCCGCCGCAGGAATTGCTGTTTCCCAAACGTAGGGAGTACGAGCACGGTCCGAGGCTGAAACCTGCATCAATAGAAACCATTCTTCCGACTTTATGGACTTCAAGTCCTGTGACACGAACATAGCTGGCAGCGGCAGAGCCAGCTCTCCCCTTCGTGCCGGCCGGACCGTGCCCTGCAGCCGTCCGTTCCTGCTTGCGGGCAGGCAGCCCCAGTGTGGGAACCGCCCTGGCTATGTGGGGGTGTCACGCCGAAAGCACGGTCCCACCCCAGGAGAAAATGCTGCTTTAAGAGAGCAGTGGAGCGTGCGACCGCCGCATTGCACGCCGCCTGCATACCCTTGTGTTCAATTCATTAGCTTTGTTAATAAAGTCACATTGGTCCCCTAGAGACGGGACCTGACCTCTGCTGTTTCTGCCCCTTGGCCAGCCGGGAAGCACACGGCCAGCTCGCACCGGCTGTCTGCCCTGCTCACCCCGGCTGGGAAGTCCTACGAGTGCCAGGCGCAGCAGACCATCTCCCTCATCTCCAGCGACCACCAGAAGTCCGTGCAGCTCTTGCTGTCGGAAGTGCGCGTCCAGCCCTTCGACATCACCGCAGATTTTGTCTTCAGTGAAGGTAAGGTGCAGGGCGAAGCCATCCCGAGATGCTGACGCTGCCACGGCCTTTGGGGGTGTCGCAATGTACTGAAGGACTTTGGGTCCCACCTTTAACAGAGCACCTTCCCCCCCCTCCAGCGGGTTGTCAGTGCTCCCTGTGGTCCCTCCAACCCATTCCTTGTCTTCGTGGTCTCCCAAAAGCCTTTACAAATTCAGCCCAGCTGCTGTTTGGTCAAAACATGGGCTGTCATTGCATGTACGTTGGTAACATGAGTTCTGTGAGGACTCATCTGGCTGGGTTGCCAGCAAGCCCCAGAACTGCCTGGTCCCTGGGGAGCCCTGCAAGGCTTAGGTGTCTGCTCTGCAGCACGGAAGGTGCTTCGGTACAGCTCCAGGGGCTTTTTAGGGCCACAGCACGCTGAGGAAAGCTTGGGGCTGCGGTGGGAGGAAGTACTTGCGATGCACACTGCTGGCTTCAGTTTGGTGAATGCTCATTGCAAGGGTGAAGGAAGCGTAACGGGGACTTCAGTGAGGCGCCTCTTGTGCCAAACACACGGGACGCTGTTCCTCTTCTTAGGTTTCTTTATCATTAATTGTGGATAAAAGAAAATGTGAGTTAACACGTGCTGTCCCTATCAAAGGGTTGTACTGAAGTCAGCAGCAATACTGCCGTGGGGCAGAATTCCTGCAGATTTTGCCTCCCTTTATCGTGAGGAACCCGTGGTGCTCCTCCTTCCTGACTTCCCCCCGCCTTTTCCATCAGGTTGAATGAGGGAGTGTAAACATGCTCACCTGAATTAGGGCTTCGAGTCTAGTCCCCTTTTTACGGTGCCATCTTAGCAAATTAGTTAACTCCATTATTGTAACAAGGTGCAAATAAAATTTGTAATAGCCAAATCTTTTAATAACGAGCTAGAAAATGGTGGTGTTCTTTTCAAGCCTAGCATTAAAAACGTGGGGTTTTATTATTTGGCGTATGGGAAATATTTTAGAACACAATAGAAAAACAGCACTGACTGCGGAGCCGAGCACTTACGCTCATGACTCACATTCCTCTGATGTAGTAAATACAGGCTATTATGTACACTGGCTCTGGCAGAGCTCTGCATGGCTGAATTACTCATGGCACGGTCAGTGTAGTACGGAGTAGGTTTCGTCCGTGGGCAAAAATAATTCTCTTCCCCCCCCCCCCCTATTGAAGAGTAGTACCATTTTGCATAGGCCACAGGGAGAAAAAGGTAGAATTTCATAGTCCTGTCATTTTTGTTGGCACATTTTCATCCTCTCCCTCTTCCTGTGGATCCAGGCTTCCTACATTCAGGGTTTGGCTGGGCAGACCTTGGAGGCTGAGAAAAGCATATTTAAAATATGCAAGCCGGGACTCAGTTTTAGCTGTTGTGTCTCTGTGATACCAAACTTGTCAAGTCCGAGAGCTCGCAGTTAAAACAACCAAGCTCGGGGTTCATTGCCAAAGGGGACTACCTGCCTTTTTCATGATATGCTTTTTTGTATCAGCTGGTAAATTTGTTGTTTGTTTGGTTTTTTTTCCTTCATTGTTGTAGTTTGTTGTTTTCTCTTTTTTGAAAATCCAGGACACGAGGAGACCCCAGTTGGTTTAGCAATCTTTAAACATGTGTGGGGAATTCCTCCTCCTGAGGAAAGCATCGTTTCTTTCTTTGTCAAGCGTTCTGGTTTGCTTGTTGTTGCTCTCGTTATTCAATGACACTTCCTTTTATTTAATTCCACTGGAAGTTAAATAGCAAAGAGCACCTGGAGAGGACGGTCATTTATCAGTGAAGCTTCACACGGGGCTCTGCCGCTTCTCCCAGCGGCACGTCCCCACCAGCCCTGCGGACCAGCGTGTCCTCGGCACATGCATGGCAAAACATGATCCTTTGTGGGGTCTGAGAATCACTGCCAATCTTAAATTACAGTAATTAGCCTTCTCCTTTTTGGTTCATTAATTTCCCATTAGGTAAAATTCCTATTAATTATGAACAAGCTACAAAACATTTTAAAATATTTTAGAATAGAGAAAGAGACCTGCGAGAGCGGAAGGATTGCCGAGACGCAGGAGGGTCATGGCCCTTTTACCACAAAGAAATGGGGGAAAGGTTTTGTCATTAGTCCTGACGCTGTCCTGTCTGGGGTAGATTAAAAAGCTTGTTAGAGAGTGATTGGATTGCTTTTATTTTTTTGAATGCTTAAACTTGTACTAGAATATATTTTTTCTTTTCTTTTTTTTAAAGACACTGCTTCCAACCTTCACAGATACATACATATATATAAAAATATACATAAATACTTATATTTACCTTTTTCAATATAGAAGCAGAAGAACATTTTTTTCATTCAGAGCTTGGGAAATTTTATTTTTTTTTAATAGGGAAAATGTGTGTACATTTTTCAGCTTAAAAGATCAGTAAAAAGAGAGCTGGATCAAGACGGTGCAAGGAGAACATTTAAATTGGTGAAAGAACCCCACAGAAATTGTCAGCTCTTTTTGATTTTAATCAAAATAACGCGAAATACTAATACAAAGGGATACAAAGGCTGAGAATTGGGGACCAGGATCCTGGGAGGTCTCATCTCCCTCTGAGCCACCCCAAACGAGGGCCACGTTCTCTCAAGGGTCCTTGGCACCAAGTAGCTCCTCTTCGCAAGGTAGCAGCCACATTTAAAAAAGCACCCAGTCTTTTTTAATTCTTTTTTAAGCTAATTACTTAGAAATGCCCATCTCAAAAATCCATCCTATCATGCCAGACACAACTGGGCTGTTTTTCCATCCCTTTCAACAGCCCCTGCACCGGTCCTCAGGCTTGTGGTCGTGACTGCGGGAAACCGCTGATTATTTTTTTTTTTTTTTTGCCTTGCTGCTATTT